AAAAAAAAAATTGTAGGTTCGGGTCAGGTATATTTTGGGTAAAAAATATGACCTGAGCGTATAAGGAGGTATAACAGGGTTCAATTTAAAGGGAGAGAAAACGAAGATAGTTTTGCAGCGTGCTCCTCTACCAGTCTCCTACAACAAAACCGCAAGATTTATGCCGGTTTGGGCTGGAGGAGGCAGACGTTGGGCTTGGCCTTTGGGGTGGTGCCAGGGTATTTGCACCCGAATGCATCAGCCCTTCCCGTGCTGCTGAGTGAATGTTAGCACTGCAGCACAGTCCAGCGCTTGGCAAAGATCCCATGGAGCATCTCCCCGGTTCCTCATCCCTCCTCTCCTCACCTGCCCTTCCTCCAGGAGACAGGAGCTGGTGGTGCTCTGCCCTCGTGCCAGCTTGGTCCCCAGTCCTAGAAACGGTGCAGTTTCACTTCTCTGTTGATAGCAAAAGTTGACTCGAACACAATGTGCGGTGCTGTAGGGGATTAATGTAAATGTTTCTTGTGAAAATTGATGGAGGCTTTAGTTTAATAGTGAGTGGATTGCTAATCATCTTATCAAGAGCAGCTGGTGGATAGGTATTCAAGCTTAATTCTCAAAATCATTAGAAGCTTCATAAAAACTTACGTGTACTGTCTTTTTTTCCCCAGCATCTTTATTTTCCGCTTAATCATCTGCATTTCTAAATATGCCTTTCATTCCTGTGCCACAGACTTTATCTAAAGAAGCTTTATGCCAAGTCAGCCAGGACCACAGTGATTAAGTTGAGTTGTTAAGGATGTTGCATGCACGCAGGAGTGAGCATCGTGTTGGATCCAAACAAGATTATTCAAACAAAAGCTGAGCATGATTAGAAAATTAAAAGTATGTTTAGTGAGTATTTCAATGCAGATATAGGCATTGTTCCATTTAACTTTTCTGCTGCTTTTTTGAAAGAATCTCGAGCTGTTTGATAAGGAAGCTGAACTTAAAAACGAAGCCTTTCTCATAACCTCTGCTCCCTCCTACGCAAAGGCAGAAGCAGGAACAGCCTGCATCTTGAAACGGTCAGCACGGTGGCAGAGGGCCAGCGTCATGGCGTGGTGTCAGCATAGATGACCGTGCAGAGGGGGATTGCCTGAAAAGTCTCTCCTTTGTCACCATTCAACTGGAGAGCTCAGGGCAGTGGCTTCTTGCTCCGGAGAGCGGCAGGAAAGGTCTCCACAAGCCTGCGGGGGAAGAAGTGGTTGCCATCCAAGGAGGCTTCGTTGTGTGAAGGTTATGATAACGTGCTGTCCTGATAATTCATCTCCCGAACAGAGCTCTGGTAGCACTCTGTCAGCTGTGACAATAAACCGTAACTCCAGGTACTTAGCTGAGCTGCCTATTCTGCTGGGCGAGCATCTTACTAAAATCTCTTGATACCTCAGCTAAAAATATCTTTGTTGCCGTTTAACCACAGAGTTTCCTTTTTAACTTTTAAAATAGTAGTGATTACTAGCCGCTTACAAATACTGTGTCACTGACAACATCTGATTGACACATTTAGATTTGCTGTCAGCATATCACTAAGTCCGATGCTGCAAATAAAATCTTAAGCAAAGTCTAAGGAAATAACAAAACCTTTTGGGGGATAGCGTCAGTGGCAGGGTTATTGAGGGCATAGCTGTGAAAGAAGCGGATGGTTACAGAAATAAAGTATGGAAAAAATGAAGAAGGCAGAGAGAAACCTTCCTAGTCAAAGGCCAAATTGAGTACTAGGGGATTGTAGGGGGGCTTGTGCACCAGCTTGTCCCTCTGCTGGAAAACAAGCAACACCTACCAAAATCCTTCATAAATTCATCAGGTTTTCTTAAATCCAAATGTCTGACAAAATTTTCTGGAAGGTGGGAAAGAGAACAAAAGGAGACAGGGGCAGGACGTTTTATTTCTCTTTGTGCTGTCCCATGGCAGGTGGGGACTAGGAGTTGGGCAGGACTGGTTTTATTTCCAGAAGAGGAAGGTCCTGAAGACTGGAGGGCAGCTGGGCAGTGACAAAAGATAGCTGGTTTCCTCCCGGGATGCAGGGGCATCTCCCTGTCTGACCTCAATGCTGAGCCTTTCAAGAGACGAAGGGGATATTTTCTCTGGAAATCACTGCATAAGCCACGGTTGCCGACAAAGCTTCCGCTCAAGTTTTTGCTTCCTAAAACTCAAGCAGGGAGGAATAGAGGGTAACTGTAGAAGTACCTTTTCCCTCCTGTAGTCCTTGTGGAGGGACACGGGGGGCAGTTTCATCCCTTAAAACAAATCACAGTATCATTCAGAGAGTTTTCATTTTTCCTGATTTCTTACAGCGCCAGCAGGACTGTTGTGCTGAGCCGAAGCCACTAGTCCCATCAGACACACCGTGTCAGACCTGCTTGCTAGGAATGCCTTAAGAAAGTTCTGAAAGCAGGCCCACGCAGAGCAGGAGTTACGCTGAATTGGGAGGATACTCTGGAAAAGTCACAAAGCTCAAGCTAGGCTCTAATACCACCAAAGCTAAAGTTGTTGGATTATTAGAAGAATAAGGAGTTTCCCGTAAAAGAAGTTAAGACTAAAAGAGAGTGATCTTTTCCTAAAAGAAAACACTGTAAGTCAAATATCCTTGTATTTTACTGTTTTAATAGCACTATCATTCATTAAAAGTCCTGCTATAGTTTTTTTTTTTTCTTCGTGCGTCAGAGGCTGTTAATGTCTAGATGTCTCTAGATTTACAGTTACCTTGGCCATACCTAGTAAGCGATTTTGAATATATCCGGCGATAGCTGTGTGTGATAACACAAACTGTATCTGTCTGTTGTCTTCTTTGGAGCTGCTAGTTGTCAGGATGCAACATCCTCTGTGCCACCCAGAGAGACTGTACGGTGAAACAAAATAAGAGTGTTTTCCCTCTCATCCTTGGAAGTCTTTCAAACCAGGATCTTAATTTGTTTACCCAAGTTTGCCCACACATCCTTATGTGCATGCAAGAGCTGGACACAAGCATCCCAGCTGAGTTCTGAAATCATCTGGTGACTTGATAGGGAGATAAGTATCCACAAGCTTTTAGAAGTACCAAATTAGGAATAGCGAAACTTTCCAAAACAAGTATTATTTTAAATGCATCTCACATTGTAGCATCTGCTTTTCCCTGCAGTTCCCAGTGTGGTTTTTCCCTGTCCCCAGCAGCTGTGACCTGCAGTGACAGGTACACAGGACTTCGTGTGAAGTTACAAGTAACCTATCTGCTTCAGTTACCAGAGTGCCCTGATTCCTTTACGACCCATCATGGCTCTTCCTCATCTCTGCTTGCTCAAAGTTGCAAGTCTGGTCCTTGCCGGAGCCTCTGACAACTGCCTCGAGCTGGTGGTGAACGGTCCAGGTGTTGCCTAGCTCCTGCGGTGCCTTTCTGCAGATAAAAGTGCATATTGCAATCCCCTCCCTTACTTGCTGGAAAGTGACTAAACATCCAGGATTAAACCTTGATCGTCCTAGTCGGTTCTTGGCCATCAGAGCAGCTGGGTTTATTTTTGCTTCCCTGGCCTCTGTGATGGTAGGCAGGGCTCAGTCCTGGACTCCTGAATGGCATGGTGCCCATGCTCCCAGCCTGCCAGCTGATGCCTTGGCTGTCCTCTCTCTTGCTGGCCCTAATGGGATCTCTGGGTCCTCTCCTTCCCACAACACGAGTGAGGCAGTGAGGTGACATTAAAGTACTGGAACAGCAGATAAAAGGCCCTTATTATATTTATTGAGTGTTACAGATAAGTAATCCACTCTGCTGTCAGTGTCTAGAGAAACAGCAAATAAAGTATACATGCCCCTTGCTTTGATGTGATGAAATCTCCAGAGGACGTTTACTTCAGTGGCATTCACAATGCAGCTGTAGCTGAGTTTTTCAGTGGAAAATATAAGATTTTCGTGTCTTTATGCTTTGCTTTAAAAATATCACTATGGCTGATTCTTGTATGCTGGACAATTCCGTGGTCTGAAAGCTGGGGGTTTTTTTCCAAAATGTTATTAAAATCATCTTAACCGTTTTTGTTGGAAGGGGAAAAATTAATAGTTATTTTGTGGTTTCATACACAACATTAAAACAACAGTCTGGTTTTCATTTAAGCCAATAAAAGTATGGAAATTCAAAATGAAGGCTCTCTTCATGTCCTTAGATCAACTTGTTGGCCTTGCTAAAATGCATAATGGATGGAGCAGGGGAAAAACCTCAGTCTTACAACCCGTAGCATTGCTTTCATGTACAGTTCAGCTTTTTTTGTTGCTGGATTTCAAGCTTGACATCACTTTATTGCCTGTCTTCTCGAGGTATAAAAACTTCCTCGTTTTTGTAAATTTGCAGCCAGTTGCATCTGGTGAACCACAGACATTATTTCCTGCTATAGTAAGTAATAGTTGAGCAAATTGGTTAGCAAACTTACATCAGTAATTTAATTAATACACTTTTAAATTTTGAGACATAAATTTATCTATTTGGGACAATGGGTATTAGTCATTTCTGGTCTATGGTACGTACAGTCAGAAGGAGCCCCAGAGGCACCGGCATGGGCTGCAGCACGGGAAACCCCGGCTGGCCCCAAGGAAGCAGCTCGGCCTCGTGCGAGCGGGGTGTCCTTGGGAAGGAGCCCCAAGTGGTGGGGGATCCCCATCCCTGGGGACGCCCAGCCCTGCTGCAGCTGCCTCACACCAGAGCACCGTGAGTCCAATGCACTCGTGTGTGGGGTGGCTAGCATCGCAGCGTTGCCCCTCTGTTTCCACCCTGCAGGTTCTGCACCTTCCAGCTCTGGGTTACCCAAGGACAGGGCAGAACTGAGTCTGGAGAAACTCCTAGGTGTTTCTGCAGTTCACTTCTTGCTGGTGAGCAGTCTGCCACTGTCCCCAAAATGCCTGCAGGTGCTGGGCAGTACCACCCGGTGTCCTTAGCCTGTGCGTTATTCTGTCTCCCCAGGGCTTTGAAAAGCGACTTCTCCCTGAAGCTGTTCTTCCCTCGCCACTGTGAACGAGCCGCCCTAGCTGTTCACAGCCCTTTGATCTGTTAAGTCACAGCTCTGTCACTTCTGGCTGGTGCCCACACCCTGGAAGCTGCCTGCCCTCCCTCTTCTCCCCTCTCCTGGGAGGGAGGTTGCTCAGCTGGGCTCACTGCCTGTCTTCATCCGCTTTCCCAGCATCCCCCGGCCAAGCTCCATGCGTACGTGTATGCTTAAAGCTGATGAAATTGTAACTTACCTTTGATTGTCACACTGCTGTTCAGCATCCATCCCCAATGACCTCTAACACCTTCTGAAACTTTATAGCTTGTGAAGACAGGTCCATAAAGCAATGTTAAGTCTTAAATGAGGTACTTCAGAGCCAACTGGCTGGCTCGGCTTTGGCAACACTTCACGTTGTGAAGGTTGTACCTGCTGAAGCGCTCCGTGTAATAAACCATTTGCCTGAGCAAATTTAAACCCACCGGTCCCTTCCCCTGCAGCAGTCCATGTGTGCTGCAGAGCAGAGGCAGGGTATGGCACCTGCAGCCCCCGAGCTGGGCAGTTTGTCTCTATCTCAGATGCCCTGAGCTTTGTTGGGGGAGTTTGCTTTGCAGGCTGGAGGAGTTCTTGGTTATTTTTTTCTCCCCAAGGAGAAAGGAGTTGCCAAAGTAAGGTGGACAAAGACTAATGTTTTAGATGGGATATTGCAGCTTCATATTTATTTGCTTGTTTATAGGACTTTTATATTCTTTCGAAGCACGATAAGAATGCATAATACATTGTGATTATTTATCATAGCTGTAAGAAGAGGGCCTGGTGGTGATGGAGATCTCAAAACTCAGCTGTGCAGAGCCCTTACCTGGAAGGACGGGAGTTTCTGGACAAGATCTGTCCCCTCCGCCGTGCGGCGTGTGTTTAGCAGCAGCTCTGTACGCTGTCTGGGCTCTTGTGGTCTGCCAGGAGGAACTGGGATGAGCACTGCTGAAATTGCTAACGTTGCCGTTTGGACTTGGCAGTGAAGAGCCCCTGAGACGGTTCACGGATGCTGGCGCCATGTGCCTGTGCTGTTAAATTCACGGCTTTAGCAGGGAGTTAGCACAGGCCAGGGAACATTTCCAGCGAGGCGGGATGTGCGAGGTCCTGTCCCGCTGGCATCCTTTCCTCTGGGGCAGTCCTCCAGCCCGACCGGCGACCCTGCTTAATCCTGTCCCTTCCCCTCCTTGTTGCAGGCTTTGCCAAGCGGCAGTGCCACGCTGTGAGATCTCCTGGTCCTGGGGGGTGCAGAGGCTGGAGAGAAGCTGTGGAGATGAGAAGAATGGAGGAGGATGGAGATGACAGCCTGCAGAAGACTCACAGAACTGGGGGAGTGCTGCCAGTGCCCGGGTCACTGCAAAACCTTTGAACGGCATGAAAAGCCGGGATGAAAGCCAGCACCCACCACAGCCCAGGGCAGCCGCCCTGCCAGGCTGCACTGGAGGTTTGGCATGGGGCCCCGCACACCCGGGAACTCCCCAGAGGAGCAGCCTGGCCTGAAGGAAGGCAGAGTGAGCCTGGGCAGGGTCCTTTGCACACTGTGGCTTTCGGAGCTTATCAGCCAGTCAGCACACACAGACGGGGTCCACACCACGTCTGGAATCCTGGGGCGAGATGGGAGCCACCAGTTCCTCATGTGGGACATGCTCAGGGTGAAGCAAGAAGAAATGACCTTGAAGAGCAGCTCTTGCAACTGCTGCTCTCAGGTTTTTCCTGGAGCACGTTGTACGGGGTTGTTCTTCCATGGAGAGCATGTATGTGTGCTGCAGAAGTGTGTTCAAGGCAGTAGCATAACGACAGTATCCTCCATGCCAAACTGTTACTGGGTCTTGGTCACAGAACAGCAGTATGGCAAATGGTGTCCTTAGCCTGTGCTTTATTCCATCTCCCCAGGGCATCCTCCATGCCAAACTATTACTGGGTCTTGGTCACAGAACAGCAGTATGGCAAACGGGAACCCTACCACGCCATAACTTACATAGAGGCAGCTTTGCCAAGGTAAAGTGACAGCAGAGGTCAAGAGGTCTTTAAGCCAATGCTTAGAGGAGTTCCTGAGGTCCATGGAGAGGAGTGGATCCTCCTTGGAAAGATCTAGGTGCAGGGGCGAGGTGACAGGCAACTGGGCCCCCTCAACACCACCTCAGAGGGGGGCATTGGACTGAAGAGGGAAAAGGAGCTTCTTCAAAACCCATTGTGCTCAGCCAGTCCTACCCTCCTGGAGCAGGCCTGTCCTCTGGCTTCCTCTGTCAGGCAGCTCCACCCCTAGTGCCAGATGCCTTATTTCTCCTTTCCTCTCCCTAGCTTTCATGGGTTGATCAGTGTTTCTATGTGTTGTCCACATTTCTCTGTTCCCCAGCATACTTGTGTTAAAATTTGCAAGGGTTTTTCTTGGGGGCATTTCAAGGTTTATTTCTGATGGGATTTGAGATGGAATCTGACTTGCGATCCTCTGGTGATCAAGTAAGGCTGGTGTGGGTGCAGAGGTCATGGTGGGGTGGAGGAAAACAGCCAGGACCCTGAGTTAGGAGAGCACACTGTACATGAGGTCACTGTTTCAGGGGAGGAGGCAGAAAGCAGCCTCTGAAATCAATCTTCTACATGATCCATGGAGGAATAGAGTGGAGAGACATCACAGAAAAAATACACAACTAAAGAAACAGTGGAGTGGAGTAGATACCTATGATTAGCCTGGTGGGTTTTCAGGTGAGAGATTGTGACTGCAGACCATGCATCCTCCTGTAGAAGATACCTGTCTGTAAAGAGTGTACTCTATGTCCTTGGTGAACCTTCTCTTGTGAGACATAGTAGGCTGCATGGCTTACTTATTGAGCCTCACAGAGGGGAACTGAACAGGGACATGAATTGTCTCCCTGCACATTTTGGGACGTCACATGGCAGTGTTGCCAGAATGGATCAGTCATGACAAGGAGTTTGGACTTGGCACCTGTGGACTTGCACAGCTGAAATGGTCACCCACAGGTTGGTAAGAGCTAGGGTGACACCAGCCCTCCTCTCCACCAGGACTGAGTCAGGAATGACACTCTCCCCTGCTCGTTATCCTCTGCTTGCAAACAGACTCCAAACACAGGCAGCCTTGATGCTGTTTGACAAGGGAGTGTGCTGGTAGCAGTGGTGGGAATGGACCTTGATGTGGACTGGTGGTATGTAGGCTTTACAGGTTTAGTGGCAGTTGTTGCAAGGACTTCTCAGCACAACTGAACAGACTCTCAGACGTGCATACTGCTGAAAACACTCTGCTGGACCCCCGCCCCTGGCCAGCACTGCATGACTCGGGAGTGTCTGCGTCACGACACCGCGCACAGAGGTTTGATTTATAGCGCTGCTTCCTGGAAGTCTCACCTTGGCACAGCAGGAAGTATCGGTTCCCGGGAAAAGAGCACATGTTGGTGGAGTGAATGTGTGATGAAGCCATTCTGGTTGCAAGTTCTGAGGAGCAGCACTAGTCATAACAGCAAGGTCAGTCACGCCAGTGTATTTCTCTGAAGCACATTAATTGAGTCGTCTGGTGGTGGTGTGGGCAAGGTATGCAGAATCGCACAGTCCTAACAACTCCGGCTGGAGGCACCAGGGTGGGGGTCTCCAGCCTAACGCTGGTCCCAGCAGGTCCTACACCGCAGCTGCAGCAAGCTGTTCAGGGCTGGTCTGTCTTGGGGCAGGACTTCTGCTGAAGTCCTTCTGAAGATACCACTCAACACCTGGCCTGCTGCCTGTGGGAAGCGCCATGGTGGATGTAGTCATCAGCTGCTCCTTTCTTCATACAAGATGTTCGTCATGTCAGCTGAATTTTGCACAAAAATGAAGCACGTCGGTGGTTGTACTTTGCCTCTCAATATCAAATCTCCAGACAAGCCCAACAGAGCGTGCAGTTTCGAGAACAAGTGGGAGACCGCTGTGATTGTGTCTTTGCACGTCCTGCTCCAGCTTGCAGAAGCGTTGACTGTCCATTCAACGGTACAAAGAGAGACATGGTACCTAACTCCACGATTAGTGAAACTGTTGTATTTCTCTTTGGCATGAAATAAAACAGCATTTGAATGCACAGTGGGGCTAATGCTACTTTGCGCAGGTTTTTATGAGGATTCTAAAATTGAGGCAAAAAGCAGATTTTACTGTAATTAGAAGAGTCAGTCAGAGGGAGGAATGGATTTATATTTGCTCTGAAATTTTCTAAACTGCTTTAAAATACCTTCAGCTGCAGGAGCTGAACTTCACTACGAACCCTTTGTGTGCTGAAGTGCAGAGTTTTCTTCATCCATTTGAACTGCAACACAGAAGTTGCAGGGCTATTTTCCCCAAGAGTCCCTGTGTTCATTTTGTTGATATGTGAAGTCACTGGGGTTTTTGCAGAGTCGTACAATCATTTTCTTGATGTGTTAGAGGCAACCCAAACCTCTTATTCCCATTTATTCACCCTTTGAGAAAAGATTTGGAAAAAAGTCACTGGTCATCGAAGTTTCAAGTCAGAGGCAACTAGCAGAGAACTGGGAGATAAACCACCAACAGATGGGGGAGGGTTGTGTGTGAAGGACATACTCTACATCATGCGCCATTAAAACTTCATGAAGAGGTGTCCCAGAAAAAATACTACAAAGCACTAGGCTCAAAATTAAATCTTAGTTTTAGCAGTCTGGTCATTTTCAGGAAGGAATAATCAGCTTAAGCACATCATTCACACATTTAATGTTTGAAGAGAAGAGGGATTGTCTGATTTTTCTCTTTTTTTTTTTTCACAGTAATTAATGAAAGTCAAAAGCAGCAACTGGAATCTGCAAGCTACTCCTCCCGCTACGCTCTGGGACTTTTTTATGAAGCCAGTACACGGATTGATGTCCCCTGGGCTGCACAGTACATCACCGATAATCCCTGCATACGCTTCATCTCCATCGATAATAAGAAACGCAATATAGGTCAGTGCTCCTATTATTTCCCTTAAACACAGTGACAATAGAGGGTGTAGATCATGAAAAATGCTGTTTAATTGAGTGTTGCTATTCTGAACAGAGCAAGTATTTAACTCCAAGCCACAGCGGATAACATTTAATGTCACATTTGGCCTGTAATAAAATACACAATGAAGGCGGGAAGGTCCTCAGAAAATCACCACCCAGCACATGGTTTACGTTACTGCATTTATGAAACCAGTGTCAGGGGATCTGAGGCATCAAAATGTTGCTATTCCAAGAAAGAGCTGGAGTTCCTTTGTTTAAACATTGATTCATACACATGCCAATTTATCCCCCATCATCCATTACTTTACAACTCCTTTCCAGTAAGCATGCTTGGAAGCAGTAATGAGTTATATGTTGAGGCTGTTCAGTCTAATTCAGAGTTAGCCAGTGTGCTTTTATAATCACGGAAAATCCTTGAAATGGCTGCACATAGTACGGCTGCTCGGTAAAGCTTGGAGGACATTCCACAAGGCAGAAACTTCTCATCTGTTTCTGGAAGATGGCAGTTGAGTAATTATATGGTTTATTTATTAAATGTATTTCATATACCAAGAGTGTGTTGGCATAGAATAGCTCAAGAATAACCGCTAGCATTTGAGTTTAATCAAGTTTATTAGGAGCCAAAAATGCTTCCCCATTCTGTTATTGCTCACATTGCGACGATGACCAGGTTTAACCACATCCGTGAAGTGATGGTAAAAACCTACCACCTTTGTGGTGATCTACAAAGCACTGTGACTCACTGTCACAGAGTAAGGAAGGATTTTCATTATCAGCTGCTGCCTGATACATAATTATTAAGTATTACCAAGTTCACTGCGCTAAAGCATGTTCAGATTTAGACCTGGGAGACTTCTGTTTCTAGTCTTCCTTGTTCAGTTGGGATTCCTTGCTTCCTGCCCACGGTCTGCAGACACCAGTGATGTTAGTATCTGCTGGGCAGGGAATTGCAAAACTTGTCCTTATATCCATGCTCCATAACCATGCTAGAAATCAGCTGTCAGGTTGAGCATGCCTTTCCTCTCTTACATCATAAACATGCGATTTAATGTAATAAGCTATCATGAGGGAGTGTCACAGTATAGCGGCCACACTGGTGGCTGCGACCTCTGAAGATCTCTGTTCCAGCTCCCACTCACTGCAGGCTGTGCTAACACAAGGTCGGGGCAGCCATGCCTTGTCTAGCTGAGGTTTTTAAAAAAAAAACAACAGGATGGAGATCCTCCACATTGCTGATGACCTGTCCCAGGGCTGCACCTCCACTGGGGGAAGAAGTGATTCTTTATCTGCAATCTGAAGTTCCCGGGGCTCAGCCTGTGAATGTTGCCTCCTGTTCCGTTGTCTGCCTCTACCAATTAGAGTCACCATCATTCAGGTTGGAAGGGACCACTGGAGGTCATCTGGTCCTACTCCCACGCAAGGTTTGAAGTTAGATCCAGCTGTGAAGTTAGATCACGTTGCTCAAGGGCCCGATGTGATGTGATTTGCCACCTTTGCACTGCTGGCTTATATTCAGCCGTGGATCCACCATAGCCAGCAGGATCTTTTCAGAAAGAAAAAATTAGGGATTTAGATCCATGCATGCAAAAGATCAAAAGCAGTCATGAAGGATTCTGTAATTATTAGTAATTGCTTCCCAAGTGACCATTTTTTTACAAAGATTCTTTATAACAAAGTGTTCACTAAAGACTACGGGTTGAACTCATATTTTCATAGCAAGAACATGAGCCCATGGAAATTATTTCACACATTATCATCATAGCTGGAAACTACCACTAATAAGAAATACAAATGCTACATAAAATTTGGATATCATAATTATGATTATTACTTGTAATTTTAATGCAGTTAGATCACGTTGCTCAAGGGCCTGATGTGATGTGATTTGCCACCTTTGCACTGCTGGCTTATATTCAGCCGTGGATCCACCATAACCAGCAGGATCTTTTCAGAAAGATCTGTTGCTCAGCCAAACTGATGCGTGGGGCTGTCCTGTGTCACCACAACCAGTCCTTGTTGGGGTGATAGTACAGTTCAAGTCAGATCTTCCAAATATGCTCTTCTTTGCTCCAAAGCCAGCTGGGTAGCAATGGCTTTTGGAAGTGCAACAGCAGTTTATGCTGGGAGCAAAGGAGTTGGAGAGATGAATCAACTCATCACTATGGAAGCTCAATTTTGTTATTTCTCCTAAGAATTTAGCTTGTTCATCTGAAAAGAGGGGAAATAAAACAACAGAATGGCTGAACTGGCCAAAACAGAGATGCATTCACCCTGATACGCTTCCTCCACCAGGGACCAATAGTGAGTATGTAAAAAAAGAGTGTAAGAAAAGCCAAATACAGAGTGGTTTTTGGTTTTTGTTTTGTTTTGTTTTTTTGCATTGTCTGCTTGTTACTGACAAGGTGCAGCTGGAGATTTTCTTGCATCTAAGATAATATTGCCATCGTTGTTTTTAATGGTAAGTACTTGATAGTTAATAGCACCTGCTGGTGTTGTCCATCCCAGCTGCCTGATTCAAGCTGTGCAGAAGAGGACACAGCCCAAGGGAGAATTTCACCCATCCTCTCCTCACCTGCTTGCATATGTGGTCTCAAAGCGCCAGCACTGAGAACAATTAATATGGAGTTATGATGGAATTATCAAATAGCTAAGTACTGTGTCTTTGCTGTCTCCAAATGCAATTTAACCAAATAGCGTATTATTTGGGGCATATTGTTACAAATACGTAGAAACTACCGGAACATCAGTGTTGACACATACCTTTCTCACTGAAATTTCCCTCATATCATGGGAGAGATCTGTTTATATGAGTGATTTTTTCCAAGAAGAACAAATTGAATACCTTCATAGGGCTGGAACAAGCTGGGAACCAGCAACTGAAGATGATTTCTGTCCGGTAGGGCCCTCCTTGTGACATATAAACAGTCAACCAGCCACCTTGACTGCGCCATCTTTGCTGGTGAACTTGCAGGTTTGCACTTTGTTGCAGGAAAAAACGTACTAGAGAGAGAGCAGTAGATGTTAGCTGGAGCAGTATTTCTGGCTGCAAGTGCTCAAGGTGAGCACAGGAGGGTTGGAAGGTGTGCCTGTATTTGGTTCAGTAATGCTGACATGCAGAAGTATAAAAATCAAAAGCGGTCACCAAGTGATTCACTCTTCTTCAAACACGTGCACGGCTCTGCTGATAATAGACACACACGCACATATGTACTATAACAACATGGGCAAGGGGGGCTGAATGTGAAACTTATTTACATATATTGGAATGCTGCAGCCAGAACACTTGAACATAAAGTTCCTTTATGTTTGTTTTAGCACATATGAAAGTATTTTGCGTTTTGATTTTTCTTTCCGTGCTTCTGACTGACCTCCAGAACATTTCAATGGGAGGCACAGCAGCACCTCACTGTCCCTTGTTTGCTGTCTGTTTTTTTGGGGTGCCATTGCTGATGTTTTAACACCACACTCCAGTCACTCATCATTCTTCCCATTCTTCAACCTTGATTGATCCCGATTCATCTGAAGAAGATGATGGTGACAATGAAGAAGAAAGCATTCAAAGAGAGAAAGCAGAAATGCTGAGGCTAAGATTTACATTGGGTCTCCTGGGTGAAGCAGCTGAGATTTTTCAGGACAGTCATCCTTCCCAAAAAGCCGTCACCTTCTCCAGTTGATGCCTGAATGGTCCTGCTTCCACTGTTCCTCCTCTATGCCATATACCCTGTCCCTGTATTTTCAGTTGTTTGTTATTTCTCAAGCCCCTGCATGCATCCCTCCCTCCATTGCATGAAGCTAAATAGGAAAATTGTGGTGCTGCCCATCAGATGTGGCTGCAATGCTTGTCAGGAGTGCATCCTCAGCAGATAGAGGAGCACGGCTGCAGTTCTCTAGGCACAAGTAAAAATGACTAATGAACCAGACACAAACAGAAATTTGATTTTTCTAGTGTTTCTACACCTACTTTGATGTATCCACAATTAACGGAGGTTTATCTAACCCTCGTTACCACCTCAAATGGTAACATTTTAGTAAACAGCATTCAACTATACAGACCCAAAGGAAATAACTCTAGCTTTCTGCTAAGGGACTTTTTGTTAAACACGTCATTATACAAAAAATAGCTACATCTATATAATGTCTACCTAAAAGCAGGTAGGCTAGCCTTCAAAGGCCGGAAGGCAAAGTCTAGCCCTCACTATGAAAGTCCAAACTGTCCTTTTCGTTTGTATGAGACGTGGTAATCCCTGCTTTGACTCATTTAGTAAAGCAGATATGTAAAACTCTCTTTCTTACGCAAATTTCACATTTTACTGGTGAACTACCTGAAACAGCCTTGTTGTTACAATTATACAATAGGATGGGTTTGTTAGCAGAGCCAGTGAGTTGCAGTCTGTAATTCTCCAGCCTTTACTTGCTTCCCTAAGGATGGCTCACACCTCACTGCGTTGTGACGAGCTGCAGCACTCTGAATCGCTGCTTGTTGCACAGCACTCACAAACTCATAAAGCCTCTTCATACAGAGGCATCCCCTCTCTTTTTGTTTTCTCCTTAATTCCTTTATGCAGACTGCTCAAGGGTTACTGGTTCTTCAGACATTTGTCGTGTAACATTATTCTTTAAATCATAACTTTGCATTCAACGTAACTCTCATCAGCATGTCCCCTGGACTTTCATAATGCACAACAAGCCAGGTGACCATGCTGTCTTTCTGGCAGTCCAGGTGGGTGAGACAGAACAGCATGACTTCTCAGAGTTTTGTCTTTGTTTGCACTGCTAGAGAGGAATACGGTCTTCTGCGATGGACGACTCCTTGCTGCGATGGGGAGGAGGTAGCGAGCCTGACCCCTGCGCAGCTGAGCCTGCTGGGGAAGGCACCGGCACCCAGGGAGCCCTGGCAACTCTTCTCTGCAGCACAACGTGCTACCGTTAGTTGGCTTCATCGTGACACAGCCTAGTTC